TATATATATATATATATGTAAAAATTGAAGTTTAGGTGTTAGATATGTAAATACATAGGAATGGAGTGGCATGCATATTAATCTTCCGTGTACATATATATCAAGAATTGATCAAAAAGAACAAACAATAAAAAATATCAGAATGTGGATGCAATTTATGTAGCAGATTTTCATCGCTTTACCTTAGCTGATGCCTTCAAGCTAGCTGACCCCTTGCCGGATCCAATTTGAGGAGTATTATTTTTCGCACGAATTAATGTTGTTAAATTTTTTAAGGTAGCGGAAACCGCAATAGAGCTAATAAGACATACAGCGGGTGCAGCAACCAGTATCAAACGAACCATTACACCAGCAAAATACATGCTTGTGAGACCATACATAACAATAAAAATAAATAAAAATAGTGGCATCTGATTAGCCGCTTAAAACAGAAATACAGGCCAGCAGGAAACAGGAAAAGAAGAATATGAAAGTCAAACATGAAGGAAGACCATGCTGTTGGTTGATGCTCTGAGACTGATGCAATAATTGGTATATGGTCCTTTGCATACGTCGGATCAAGCAGAGAATAAAAACGACCCGTCCAAGGAGAGATATAACCTGTGGCCGTGCCGACTCCAAGAGCAAGAGCACCGACACTTATGGCACACGTCAAAGTTATCCTCAAGAACGAACGAAATAATTTGGGATCATTTAACGTGAACTTCACCCAGTCTAGAAAGTAAAATACCTGCAGGCAACTACAAAATTAGAAGTGGAGGCAAAATGCTTAAAAAATAGAAAGCAAATATTTAACATGGCCTCCACAAATTAGCATATCTTTAAAAGACGGGCATGAACATTTACAAATGTGAATACATAATCCTAAACAACAAAAGAACAGATTGAAATCGTAGGAAATATTAAACTTTTATTTTGATTATTACGATTACAAATCATGTGACTAAATAATGATCATATGTGACATAAAAGTAGCATTATAAAGAGCATGCATCAAATCACGCCTTAGCAAAATGCTCTAACATGGAGTCTCCCCATGGCACACAACTGTGCAGCACTCTACAGTGCAAAGCATGTGCACTAGATCTTTGCGGCACTTCGCAACGCTCAACACAGTGCTGAAGTCGCATATTTTCATTTGATTGCTAGTTGAACACATCAACCACTCTATGAAAAGCAATTCATATTTTGCAAAGCCTCTGAAGCATTTGGTCTTAAAACCCATCTCTAATTATTCTTCTCTGACAATTCTTCCCCTTCCATACTTTTTCATCAAGGATTGAGGGGATTTACAGGTATCATTAGAAATTAATAAGTATTGGAAGCTATCTACGCACGGTAACACCAATCCCAACTAAATTGTTTTTTTAGCAACCTCTAGTGTCCATTAATTACCTTGCCTGCACTCTCCTTCTTGATTTTTATTTCTTCCTGGACTTTGAGGGTCCATAATTCAAAGAAAGTATTGCGTGTGAATAACACATCTAATGCCACATATTTTACAAGGGTTCATAGTTGTGACTCACACAGCCCAAAAAAAGCATACTTGTGTAGTACAAGTACACATCTATGTACTCCTAACCAGATATACATAGTGCAAGAACATTCTCTCGTCCTTTACATGCAATAATTTCTCCACAATTCATGATTTTTCAACAATGGTTGCCTTTTCCTCTGCCAGTGAATAACTTCTTGTTCGCCCTTGAACCATCCATTCAATGATCTCAAAATAAATTTCCTGTTTTCTTCCATTAGGGTGCTTGCTATGGAGCTGCTTGCTAATTGACATTATTTTGGGAGATTCAATGATGAAGATGAACACTATATTCTGAAGTAATTTTTTCTTGTGAGTTTTCTGTAAGCCATTGAATGGTTTGAATCGTGTTATGATGTAATTATTTTTTTCTACCCAACAGATGCATTTCCTTTGGTTGGATTTTGATGACAAGTGAAGTGTATGCCAATTCATGTGGACTTGTTGTTAGCACATTGACATGGCTGTGCAGCTGCTTTAATAGTTCGAAATGCATGTTAACACTATTGCTACTGTTCTTGGACTGCACTTTAAAGTGTATAGCAATTGATGAAGCTTGAAAGGACGAATGACGAATGGGCATCTAATTGATGATGACTGATATGTTGGAGCTTAAGTTGCTATTCTTTATGAGTAGATATGAAAAATAGCAAACCTTGTTAAGCATATCTGTTTCATTCCATATATATCTTTTTAATATTTATTATTTTTAAAAATAAAAAAATTCACTATCTAATGGTTAGATAATTTTCATTATTATCATTATCCTTATCCCAACTATTTGTGATAGTTTTAAGAATCATCATTTTTTTTTCATTATTGTTGCGTTCTAATTGTGGTAATAAATATATTATTCACAAATCATATTGAATAACTTTTATCCACAAAACAATAGTTCTATGCCTTCCCAATAGTTCACTATAGTTTTATCTACTAGTCTAATGGGCACATTTGCTATCTCACAATATACATTACAAAATCCCCCAAGTATGCTTGGAATTGCCTTATCCACAAAAAAAAAATCTCTCCACTCGTTCCTCTAATAATATAATTCTTAAATTTATTCTTCTTAGTTTTGCCACGCAGCCATCTTAACATTCTACCATTCTAAAATATCAACATTTTTTTACTATTGAACACACAAATGCAAACAATATTGTTGCCCTAACAGTGATTTTAAAGAATTTACCTTTTTAAGTTTTTGCAAGATATCATACTCCAAAGACACTTCTCTATTTTAAACATATAGCCTTAAATCTAATCAACATGCATGTATCCCTTTCCTAATGAAAATAAAATTCAAATTTCCATCACTCTTCCTTTTACAAAATTAAAAGCTCTATAAACTAATATAACAAATGTCAGATACTAACTACATGAAAGAAAATTGACGGAAATTTCACTATGAATTAATCCCAACAAAATGGAAGAAAGATAGGATAGAAAAGAACAAATTTGTTGTGGTGGACAACACCAAGCTGCATATAATAGATGATACAGATCCATCTCTATCTCTCATAGCTATGACAGAGTACATAACGAGCCTTGTGCTCCAACAAGGACACACAAAAAGAGTTGTTAGCCATAAAGATATAGGTCAAGTAGGAGATTAACAATGCCGTCTTCAGCACTAGTAACCAAAAGAATCTTATTTCTATCAATTTAATGGAAAAATTAGCAATTAGATATGGCCCATAATCCTTACCCTTTAGGTTATTTTCTAAAGGAAGAAACGAAGATGATTAACAATGCCTCTTGAAGTTTTCCATAACCAAGGATTATAACAAAGAATGGTTTGTAAAGTGATTCTAGGTGACATCTGTCAACTCGTCTTCAACATTTAATGTCTTCGTAATAGGTATATGTACTACATCAATGACCTTTTATCAATCTTAACTCACAAAGTAAAGATATTTCTACAAAAAAATAAAATACAACATCAAAATCATACATAATAAAACCAGGTCAAACAGGTAAACTTAGCAAACTAGACAATCAAGATTGACTCCTAGTGAAAGCTATGATTCCACACACACACAAACAAGCCAAACCAATTAGAGCACCAAAAACATGACTCTGGACATTCACAATAGAATCCTAAATATTAAATTCTATTCCAACTACATGAGACAAAATTGTCAAAATAGATTTCTAGAATATCCAAGAAGCCCCCTATAAGATTAGTTAACAGAACAAACTGCTTTAGTTAAGAGTTTGAAAGGTCAGCCTCTCAAGAACTAAAGTTGTGATTTCGCAAGAGTGAAATCCTCCTGAAAGGTGTATCAGTGATTATGATATCAAATCATAAATGGGTTTTGTTAATATAGCCGAATAATTCAAGGAAAACTAAACTACTTAATTGAATTAGTATGTATTTAAATTCAAAATAAGATAATTTATAAAGGAAATATCTAATAGTATGAAATTATTTAGTTTATTATTGCATATAAGATTCAGTAATTTTCTACGGAGTTTGTTTAGAATTAGATAAACTAGTCCCAATTGTTTCCATCTATAAATAGGTCAATTTTCTGCAAAGAAATCAAACCAAAATCAAAATTTTCAAAAATCCCTTCTTTTGCATCTCTTCTTCCCCCGATAGAATTGCAAAAGCCACAAATAAAGTATCGGGGTTGCTGTACTATGCTTGATGATGCAGTGTGCATGTAGTTGTGAAACCTGCCAAAGACAGTCACCAGCTGCTGAAATTACAGAAAAACCAAAAGATGGTTTAAGATTGAGTGTCTTACAGTAGAGAAGAAGTTTCAAATTGCTAATTGCAGCAACATAATGGTGAAAATACATTAACAGATTGTTGTCTAGGAAAGAAAATAGGCAGAAACATAAAGAGTTATTGCTTTCCACAACAGAGTGAGAAGAAAACATAGTCTACAACAAGTAGACAAAAATGAGGTCCTCTCAAGTCATTAAGAAGTTCAGAAAAACCAAGCCTCCCTTTCCATTCTAGCTTCTTGATTGCCAACATAGGCCACACATTGAGAGGTTGCCAATGGATCATGTCCCCAATTTGCATCTTAAGTTAACAACTAGCCTACCAATATCAAATTGCCAGTCTCACAGGAGGATCTTTGACAATTATGATCCTTATTAAGCATATGCTCATAAGCTTTCAGTGCAATCATGCTATGATTTTTATCATAGAGGGCATCTATATTTTAAAGCATCTTAGGAATTGCCATAAACAATTTCAATGGCATGTATAATATAAAAAATCTGTGATGACATTTTGCAACCATTTAACATATTAATCCAAAAAAATTGACAAATAAACAATCTTTTTACTGCTACAAAACCCTACTATACATGAAAAAGTAATCTGGATCCTGATTTGAAAATGAAAGAATAACGTTTTAATCCAAGGCTTGCAAGCTAGATTTTCTTTCAAACTGACATTTTACAACCGCAGTTATCATAAAATGGCAGAAAAAGCAACAAATGTATGGATCTCATTTTATACAAAAATCATCAGACATATGAAAGACATATGAGCTGCAAAAAGTCAACATCAAAATGTCCACAATCATCAATTTTAAAATAGAAACAACCCAATTTCATAGGATTAATAGCTTCATCATTTTCATTGAAGGAACATATATTTCATTTTAGAGCGAAATGAGACACTTTTCTTTTAATCATTATAATTAATGGATTCATATTAATGTACCATCCAAAATATATGTTGTCAGGATACTTGAACTTATCTCATTAATAAGAGAAAGTTTAGAAACAAGCACATTTTCAGATTTGTATAGAAGTGGGATTAAATAAAAATTAATAGGAACAATAGAACCATTCATGATGTCTCACACTTCAGTGGAGCCCAAACAAAATTTTTCTTCATGCAAGCTATAAACCAGATCTTTAGCCTCTCAACAATTAAAAGCAAGGCATGATTAAGATCTAACTCAAGGAAATCAGCTTGGGAGAAGTTCAAGAAAAAATTAAAAAAATTAGACTATTTTCAGCTCCCAAAGCCCAAAGGAAAAGTTACTTCAGGGCTCTTTGGAAAACCTTTTTGGTTTTTACTTTCATAAAATAGTTTAAAAGTTATATATTAATTAATTATATATTATTTATTATGCTAGTTCAAGATTAATTAAGCATATCTTACTTGTAATAGAAATTATTATATTAAACTTTTTATAGAAACAATGCAGATAAATTCAAATAATAGATTTCTATGAGTAAATATAAATAACACAAAACAACATAATCACCCCTGACATAAGAAAATTGATAAAAAAAATTAGCCTGTCGTCCAAGAGACACTGGGACTCGTCTGTTTAGCAGATAACATCAGAAATCATCCAAGCAAGAGCTCTTACTCTTAACAAATTTGAATAAACTTTAACCGTATTAATAAAATATCAATCATTCAATTCTCATCACAAGTTTAACCATAAATGCGTTAATTAGAGCTAGGCAGCAAATTCAATAGGCAACCAAGGGAAAATAAACCTATTACTAACCTGGCATAAGCATCAACACTAGTCCTACCTCCAGCAGGCATCTCACTTGTTGCAAAACAAAAATTAGAATGCCAAAGAGTAGTTGACAAGGCAGCAGGGAGGTTTGTTTCATGATTAAGATAATCTTAAGGTCTATCCACTAAGAGATTAAATCTTTCACATTAATAATAAAAAGTTAAGGAGCACTTTCATAAGTGTAAAATAGCTAATTAAGTAGAGTATAGCAATCATAGAAAATATCATAGGATAATGATGATGATAACTTAATACTGCCACTAAATTTGTCGAACATCAGTAGATAGCATCAAGAACCAAATGGGGCTTGATTACACCAGCTGTTTTTGTTATAAGGTCCTACATAATACAAAAGGATGTCTTCATCTGAAAACAATTATTGGCACAATATAAAATCTTTATGGTCAGGTAAGTGGTAGAAAAAAACTAAACCAAAATATTGCCCTCCATCAAAGAGGCCAAAAAGAGAAAGGCAAGAGACAGGCTGCAATGGAACAATAAATTTTATACATAAAAGAAAGTATAAAACAAAACCGACTAAACTAGAACTGAATAGGGTACTCGACATTCATTAAAATAAAAAATCCGCAACAGTTTAACCAGACAAATATTAGCACGATTTTGGACAATAATTTGAAATAAAAGTAAAAAGATTTGACTTGTTAATAGTTCATGTCTGATATTTAATCAATTGAGAGGCTATGAAAGAAAATAAACAAACCTGAAGCAAGAAAAACACCCCCATCGCAGCCATATGCTCCCCGGACTGTACATGCTGGAAGCCTACAAATCTAATCTGCATGGCGAGCAGCATCCCTAACACATACATGCAATTGTAAGCAACGTAAAGCCTCATCGAGTACCTCCCAGTCACCAGTAAAACCAACACATAGAGTGGAACCAAATTGATGATAAACACATATCCACCCCATGCCGATACCATATAGAAGTACCCAAATGCAGAAGCGAGAGCCCAAGCGAGCGAGCCAGTGTTGACTGCCTTGACGAACAGGTAAAACGTCAGAAGAAGCGCAAATATTGCTACTCCCTCGTTATCATAAGAACCGGCGACGGATCTGGATATGTAACCAGGGCATATAGCGATAAGAGCAGCCGCCACCAAGCCAGCACCCGAGTCCCAGATCTCCTTCCCGAAAAAGTAAGCAACGATGGTGGTATTAGAGGCGAAAAAGGGAGCGGTGAGGACGCAGACCTCGCGGATGTGGACAGCAAAGCGCAGGAAACGAAGGGTCCAGTAGATGAGGGCAGCGGTAACCATGAGGCCGGGATAGAGGGTGCCACCGATGATGCGACCAAGAGGGTACCAGCTCTCCGAATCGAACCAGTTCCAGAACTCGTAAAAGCCCTTTTCAGTAAGGAAGAGAGTGGTGCGGTAATTAAAGTAAGGATCGAACTCATGGATCATACTTTCGTAGCGGAGAACGCTGAAAAGGCGGATGGCAAATGCGAGTACATATACGAGAGCGAGGATGGAGACTCGGATCAAGAGTTCCTGCTGCTTGGTCTTTAGTTTTAGGGTGTTGAGGGAGGATAGCGGAGCAGCGAAAGTGGTGGACGAGGAGAGAGACACCACTGGCGAGGATGATCCGGTCTTGGCTCCCATGGCGGGGAGTTTAGAAGTTGGGGGGAGGAAGAGGAAAAGAGGGGATCGTGTTGAGACAGAGAGATTACTATTTTGTGCGATGCATTTGTTGAGTGCAGAAGAAATGAAACCCTAGGATTTTGATCGGACGAGGGTTTTAGAGGGAGGAGACTAGATCTTGAGCGGAGACCAGCAAGAACGAACAGTGCCGCCGTTCTCCCGTGCAGAATGTGGAGGGATCCCATAAAAAATTTAGGTCCCACACATGCTGAAGTGGCACCTAATCATGTCGAGATGTCGCCCTACAGTTGGTCATCATTTATAATATTTTCTTTCACTGAGCATACTTCTTTAAGGAGAGATCAATTAAGTCTACGATTACCTTGAAATCACTCCTTTGGATGAGGATTTCCTTGAAATCATTTATGGGAATGATGAAGAATTTCAACGTACCGAACCTGTTTCTAACACAGGTCTTCACTCATTTGGTCACTCCATTGTTTAGTCTAGCTATTGAGTTGACTGCTTTGATGGAGCATCCTCCTCTAGTTATTTGTAGACTCATCATCTTTGCTTCTTCAATAAAGATAGAGTTGTGAGAAGCTCCATTGTTTATCATTGTTTTAGTATATTTCACACCTATGATCACATCCATGAAGAGTGGTCCTTCTGTCGGGTTTTTGGAGAGGAGCGCACCACATTAAGCAATTGCATTGTTCCCACCTGTGTAGCCATATTGCATCACTCTTCCTCTTGATGGCTCACAACCCTTTTCTGAGAGCAATCCCTTGCCCAATAAGATCATTCACAAAGGAAGCGGTTGTTATGTGGTCTGATTTTGTTATCAGACTTCCTCTTGTCCTTTGCCTTGGATTGTGTTGATTTGCGAGGCTCTCTTTCTTATGTTGATTCTTGTCTCCCCCACTTTTGACAAAGTTGTCGGCACTATTTTTGGTGTGGGGTTTGCCCGTAAGAAGCTGTCGGTCAACGGAATTGAAATCCCGTTGCCCGCTTC